AGATTCCGCTGGACTTTGTTTCCAAGTTTGAAGACATTTGGCTTCCCATCCAGGAAGCTTTTTAAATTCAAAATGTTAGAAATAGCTTTGAGTTTGATGCTTCTCAATGCTTTCCATCTGTTCTGTTGCAGATCCACCAAGACGCACCCAGGGCCTGTTGTGCATATTAGTGATAACCCCATGGATGAGGGCAAGGTAACTCATCATCAAACATTGAGTAGTGATGTTATGCTTGAGGCTAAGATAGTTGCAAAAGCTTAGAGTTTTAGCTCAACAACTATCTGCTTAGATGTCTTTTTCCTGCAAACTGAGCTCTGCTGTTCTTCTCTTGCTGTTTCAGCTTCTGATTGGATTTGAGTGTGGGGTAGTGGTGCTGTGGGACTTAAAATCCAAGAAAGCAGACTGCCGCTACAATTATGATGAGGTAAGATCTTTTATTTTTTCCTCATCATCCAGTTGTCGTAAGGGGAACCAGTTTGGTTAGGGTTCTGGCTTCCTAACGTTCCCACAGCAGGTTTGGACTTGTTTAATTTCTGCCAGAACTGCTGCTACTAAACCTGTAATGGCTGCTTGTCCGGCCCCTCTGGTTCTGAGGAGCAGGTTTGGAAATCATTGAACAAACTGAAAGAAAGTTAAAAACGGTCTGGAATTTACCTCCATTTTTATTATTCAGTTTATCTATATGGCACCAATTTACAACATGTCATCTCAAGGCATTTTACAGAGACAATTCAACCAGATCAGACTGGCTTAAAGTTTTCTGTCTAAGGAAAACCAGCTGATTGCATTGAGTCATTGACTCGCAGCAATTCCTTACACAGAACCTGCATGTAGCAAAAGTGGAGAGGAAAACTCACCTTTAACTGAAAGAAATGGCAGAACTAGGCTCAGTGTGAGCGGCCCTCTGGCTAACAGAATTTTACTTTTTACCCTAAACAGTAGGGGCCAGTATTGGCATGGGTGTTGTGATACGAAACGTCTCACTATACTTGGGTCATGATACAATATTATAACAATATTGCGATATCCCCATATATTGCGATATCTTACCCAGCTATCAAAATGGAGAGTAAGTGCTGTATATGTTCATCAGAATCTATGTTGTTTGGGGTTTGAGTCAGTCCATGTCTTCCACTGTGACTGCCTTAGCACAGTAAAAACGCTCCACAGCGCCATCTACCAGAGTGGCAGTGCAAAGGTAGTCCATTCTCCCCTCATTGTTTTAGGGAACAAATTTTTATTTTTTTTGAAAATTGATATTAGGAACTGAAAGGTTGGTCTTATACTGGGCGGCCGAATATCACGATATATCGCCACACCCCTCTTAAACACAGATCCTTAAAAAGTCTTAAAAGGCATTGAATTCTTCAATATAAAATCAAGGCCTTAATTGGTATTAAAATGTCTTAATCAATCTTTCATAGGTCTTAAAATTGTTACCACATCATAAATAGGATTTTATAGGTATCTATATTAAGCATTAAAATAATTTCTTTAATTTTCTTACATTTACCAAACAGCTCCCTGTAACCATTATTGGTTCCGTCCTGTTAGTGGAACCAATAAAAAACATGTTGCTACCAGACCTTGGGGTGATGTGCAACTAACTTTTTTATCTGGAACACATGGGGAAATTTAAATTCAATGAAAAATAAGCAATCTATCCAAGAGTTTTCTGCATGGCTAAAACCACTACCAGGGAATGTAGACGAAGCATGATGCGAATATAGGGAGTGGAGACACATGTGCCAAGCGGGAAACTCAAAGCGTCAAAATCTAGTGATGGAGAAGCAGCAGGTATTTTTATCCGTTCTTTTCCACCCTTGTCTCTTCTACGCCTCCACAGCATCTCTCACATCACCAACAGCTCCAGTAGAACAAAATCTCAGGATAATAATTGGCGGTACGCCGACAATGAAAGTAGAGGGAGAAGGGAACAAAAGAAAGTTAGTGAATTCAGTTTAGTTTTTAAATAAATAGTGTTGCACCGATACCAGTATCGGGCGGAGCCCCAAACCAGAACTAAAATGGTGGTATCGGTATCGGTGAGTACCAACAAAGAGGGCATCGATACCATTTTTAGAGCCAAAAGTTTATTTAACTATTGTCACCCATTCCAGGTAGGCAATAAAAAGTTCTACTGGATTCACTTTGTTTTAGTCTTTTTCTTGCTTCACAAAGGTAGGCAGCAGCTCAACGAAGCCATGATGGCAATTATTTTATATCCAAGTAGTCTGCAGTTCTTCATATATATATATATATATATATATATATATATATATATACACACACACACATCAATTTCAACAGATGGTATCGTTATCGGCCAAAACTGCATAGACGGGTAACGGGGCCAAAAAATAGCATCAGTGCAACACTAGTTACAAATATATCTGTTATTTGTGTTTTTTTTTAGCTTTTTTCCTATATGGAAAGTTATTTAAAATTTGAAACACATCTACTGGGCTGGAAAGTAATGGTTTATGTTAAAATAAACATTTGGCCTAAATTTATTGCTACCAGGTTTTTCTTGTGTTTATTGTACAGTTGGTCTTAAATTTTTATTTTTAGCAGCATTGAAAAGTCTTTAAAAGTTTTGAATTTAACTTGCCTTATGCTGTAGGAACCTTGTTATTTTGGTACATTATTCAGTGTATTTTAACTATGATTAACAAGCATAAATAAAGGCTTAATTGTGAAGTGAAAATGATGAGATGTACACTTTTAATTAAATTTGTTGTCAAAAGACACAAATGAGTTCAGATTTACCTCTAAGTACTTTAATCTCATTCTAAATCCAGATGTTTTGTGAAGGAATCAGAGACTGGGGTTGGTTAAAGTAAAATTAGGTTAAAAAAAAGGCATAACTAAAAGCATACCAGAAAATAGAAGGTCAAGCAAAGAGGTCTGTTAACAGATTTGTTTATCTAACGCCAGTTCACAGCACATGTCATCTAAAGAGACTTTACATTAAGTCGGATTGATTAAAGCTTTTCTAAGAAATCAGAATCAGACATACTTTAATAATCCCAGATTACAGCCCGCTGATTGTATCCAGTTGTTGACTCAAATTCACACATCTAGCCTTCATCAAGGAAGGGGACAGCCATTGTTTCAAATAAAAAGATAATTTTAGTGTCTCTAAACTGATATGGCTGCCATTGTTCTTACCATGGAAGGAAATGACATTAAATAAAGCCTTAAGAAGTCTTTCGTTTTCTTGCTCCAGATTAAAAAAAATGCATTATTCATAGAAAATCCTGCTTTATACCAATGTTAGTCAACAGAAATCCTCTAAGAATCAGTTTTAGTGAAAGATGCTTTATTTAAGGTGATGCTAACCTCCATTAACATATAACACGTATAGGAAAGCTAACTCTGATTTTCCATTTGGTGGTACACAATGTTACTCATCCTAATAATGGGTCTGTGTGTCTCTCAGGCCATCCACTCGGTTGCTTGGCACCACGAGGGGAAACAGTTTGTCTGCAGCCACTCTGATGGCACTCTGACCACGTGGAATGTACGAGCTCCGGCCAAGCCTGCACAGATCATCACGCCACATGGTACGAGCTGTTGCAAACGCACGCACGCGGTTGTTGTGTTTTACACAGAGCCAGGCGGGCCACGTGTCGCCGATGTTGATACCTCCAGTTAAAAGCTTGGTTTATGCAGAATTTGGCATTTGGCTTTTGACAGGAAAACAGCCTAAGGATGGAAAAAAGCCAGAGCCATGCAAGCCTATCCTGAAAGTGGAGTACAAAACTACCAGAGCTGGGTAAGTGTGATGGCAGAAAGCTTCCACCCTTCCTGTGTCTGCTCACGCCAGGATCCATATCCTGTGTTCAGAGGCGCCTTTCCTGTTCTGTATAACCAGCCACGTCAACACTGTTTACAGCATCCTTAGCATGGATGGAAAGCTGGAAAGATGCCTGTTATTATTCTTTGTGCTTATAGAGCTTTTGTTTTGTTGTGATTATTATTGCGTCTCTATGATCAGCAGTCTAAGGGTTAACGTTAACTGTTTGGTGATGAACAGGAGAGAGATGTCAAGGTCAAAAAAAGGAGAAAGCCACTGGCAAATTATGTCAGGAAAATTAGCATCTTCACAGAAACTGATCTAGTTATTGCTCATTTTTTTCCTCAGGTATTTGAGGACAAGGATTAATTAGTTGTCATGATTAAAAAATAGGATTCTCCTGAAAAAAGGGGCCAAATGCTCTCAGGAGAAAGTGAACCGGTAAATTTTGTTCCTTTTCACCCATTTACCAGCGAGTCCAACGAGTCGTTTTTAACTTTAACAGCCATCCCGGTGCAACTGAGCGAGCCGTTAAGTTATGTGTGTGTGTTTGGTATCATCAGGGACCCATTCATGGTCCTGTCTGGAGGGCTGTCGTACGACACAGTGGGGAGGAGAGCCTGTTTGACGGTGATGCACGGAAAGAGCACCACCGTTCTGGAGATGGACTATCCCATCGTAGATTTCCTAACACTCTGTGAAACTCCATATCCAAGCGGTGAGCCATGAAAACAGTCTGAAGCAGCGCTGCTTCTCTGCCTTCAAGAGTAAAAATAAGTTGAATCATCTACATCCATTTTTTTCTCTGTTTTCCAGACTTCCAGGAACCGTATGCTGTGGTGGTTCTCCTGGAGAAGGATTTAGTTGTAATAGATCTCGGACAGATTGGGTAATTATTCCTTTCTCTTGACGTTAAACGGTCTATGTATATCTAGGAATGTGATGGATTTTTCTTGTTTGACAGGAGCACATACAGTTTATTTTGGCAACGAGACCCAGAATATTTATTTAACCTTGTTTTTGTTTTTGTTAGCGTTTCCACCGAGGAACAGAGCCAAGCGATAACTCCTCCCTCCACAGCATCACTGACTGAGGAGTCGTTATTAGTCACCAAAATAAAAGCCCAAATAGTTTTTTTTTTATTATGAATTTATCTTTTTAAGGCACTAATGCTCTAAATGAACAAATATGTTGCAGGAAATTCATTTTATAACTTAAAACAAGACATGAAAAAAATTTAAGGCATTTTTCTGATGCAGACTTTGGTTTTTCTCTGAGGGGCTCCGGATTAAAACTTTAGGTTCTTGCCTTAACTGGGATAATTTCATGTTTTTTTACAAAATGACTTTCATCACTTAAAAGATGGAGCTAATGAATAAAGTCAACTAATATTTAATGGATGAAATTATACAGATAGGCCTGTCAGGAATAACAGAATTTTGTTGAAAGATGAATTATCCTAGAAATAATGGCTAAAAACAATATTATCATTAAATAAACTCTAAGTGCTCCTACGCTGCAGATGGTCCATTCAGCTAAATCTTAACCAGCCTTACTCTGGACTGCTACTCTTCAGTCACAATGCTCTTATGCTACAATTGCTACGCTAAGAAAAATGTAAACGGACTCTTTTGTAGACGAATGGAAAACAAGCAAACTGACGTAAATTATTGAACTCATTTAAATGTATCCTGCAATTGACAGGTCTAGTTAGAGACGTTTCCCACATGAACTATCAACTTGATCATAGAGCCGCAGTTCTCGTCTCCCTAAAAACCTGCTAATTATCCGCTGGACTTTTCTTTATTTATACCTACAAACATTTTTCGGATAAGGTTTTGTTTGAAGGATATAATCTAAGCATAATCTGTTTAAGAATTTAAAGAATTTAAATTCGCAAGTAGTGAACAGCAAGAGCCGCTACGCTCCGATGACTCCTAGACACGGGTCACCATGTAGGCCAAGGAGTAAAAAACCGAACGGCTCTCCGGTGGTGTAAAGGACATACTAGACTTCATGCTTCTCTCTGTGGAGAAGCTGTATGATGCTGGTTTTGTTCTCCAGCGGGACTTTGTACCTTCACACTGCCATAGGGACTAAAAGCAGGTTTAGTGACCAAAGGTGTTGCTGTTTTTAATTAGCCAGAAAATGTGGTTCTGACCTGAACCACGTGGAGAATCTGCGGAGTGTCGTCTAGGTCATGCATCCCCAACCTCGGTCCTCGAGGCCCCCTGTCCTGCAGGTTTTAGAGGTTACCTTGATCCAGCACAGCTGATTTTAATTGAAAGCTGATTAATTGGCTTTTGGTCTACTGCAATCATTATAATCAGCTGTGCTAAAGCAGAGAAACCTCTAAAACCTGCAGGACAGCGGGCCTCGGGGACCGAGGTTGGGGATGCCTGGTCTAGAGCACACATGACCAAAGTTGGCCCTTCGAGGGCGACTGTCCTGCAGGTTTCCCTGCTTCACCACAGCTGATTTCCATTGAGAGCTAATGAACAGGCTTTTACTGAACTGCAATCTTTAGAATTAGCTGAGCTAAAGCCTTAAACCTCTAAAACATGCAGGACAGTTAACATCGAGGGCCGACTATGAGCAGTGCTGGTCTTGAGGAAGATGAAAGTCGCCAAAGTAGAAGACCCGAAGGCCTCCATTACAGCAATCTGTGCTTTTTGTTAATCCCAGCAGAACCACAGCCAGTCTCCTCCATGCAGCGTTGCATTGATGCAGAAGGATCCTCAAACAACTTGAGCATCTCAGCCTTTCATCATCTGTAGATCAATCATCAAAACTACTTAAAGCTTTGAAACATTTCCTTACGGATATAATGCACAAGTTCCAGTTTCTAAAATTAGTGTTCTGTTGTCAGATGCTCCTTTAGATCAAAGCACACAACCTCTAAGAAGCATGTGATGCTTCAGTTACTTTCAAAATTGAACAGTTTTTTTGTTTTATCTTGACAGGTATCCGATTTTTGAGAGCCCGTATCCGCTGTCCATCCACGAGTCACCAGTGACGTGTTGCGAGTATTTTGCCGACTGTCCCTCGGAACTGATTCCTGCACTCTACTCTGTCGGCAGCCGGCAAAAACGACAGGGCTACAGCAAGAAGGTGATTTACTCCCCTCTGTAAACGTTCCTTAGAATTGGGCCCCCTGTTTAAGTGTTTGCTTTGGGAGACACGGTGTCTAATGCCAAAGCGGGAGAGAGAAGCTTGCGGCAGATGCAGGCAAATAATTGGGCCTGAGTCAGACGGTTAACATTCATAATCGAATCAGTTTCCTTCTTTTTACAGGAATGGCCCATTAGTGGTGGAAACTGGGGCCAAGGCACACAGACTTACCCAGAGATAATCATCACAGGGTCTGTAATCACTGCATAAATGAAATAATTTATTACTGCGTACCCTATGTGACGTGATCTTTTTTCTGGTTCTCTTCAAAAACAGACATGCTGATGGCTCAATTAAATTTTGGGACGCTTCTGCATGTAAGTGTTTCTTTTCTCATCGGATATAAACCCGCCGTCAAACAAACACACCCAGAAGGAAGAGGGTAATTTAGTCGTTATGTTTATACATCTGCAGAGCAGTAATTGGTTTGTACACGATTAGATTTGGAAGGAGGTGACAGCTGGAAAATGGGCTCTACAACGCATGGCGTAATGGGTTACGCTGTGCGAGGCAGGCAGCCACTGGTGAACCTAGCGTTCAGTCAAAGCAGTGAGTCAATGCAATAGAGAGCATAAGCTGAGCTCGACCCAGTTTAGGGTCACTTTGGGGCTTTGAAGCTAGAAGGGCATATTTTACAACCCGGTGGCATGTGAGCTGCCCTCTGCATCACAGTGCAGGGCGAGCCGTAATGTTCCTGCTGGTTCTTACTATCTTTTAACTTAAGGTGTGTCTGGACAATGTTTATCTTTTAACTATATAGTGCAATATATCGTAAACGCAGAGACTAACAGCTGTTATCTGAGTTATTATTGCAGGGATATTAAATATTATTGCAGTTTGATTCACTCAGAAATCTGAAAATAGCAGGTTTAAATACATTTTTTTGTTAAGCATTTGTTCATTAATCTAATGTTTTTTGTTGTTTTTTTAAAAGCATTTTAGAACAAATAGAAATAATAATGACAGTTTTTTTTTTGTTAAAAGTAATGCTAAAAGAATTTTAGATTAAAATCTTTGCATTGCTCATACACTAAATAGAGCTAAAGGACATTTGTTGGAGGATTTGATTTGCAGTTTTGTGCCACAGGAATAGATTTCATGCATTGTGTGATAAAAGGTAGGGATGCACGATATAATCGGCCCCCTATC